ATCGACTGAATCCTTTCACACCGCCTTCTCCACCTATAGCCATATCATTTTCTTGTGGAGGCCATGTCTGTGGAAAGGAACATCCTAGAAGGAAGCTGTATAAGTGAGTTTTGCAGAAGTAGATCTCTGTCAAGTCTGTTGTTTTTGAATGACAAAAAGCTACCCATTTGAGAGAGCACCTCTCAAATTTGCGGACGATCATGATCTCTCGCATGGCAAAACCGGAAGAAGTGCTGGTTGTAGAGAACGATCAAGGCGAGGTAGGTGTTCTTTGAATGAAGTGATGAAGCTTTTTCGAGTAATCGTGATTTACGTTAACAGGTTGTGCGCGAGATAGTCAAGGACACAGACTCTATCACATTGTATAAGAACATGCGCGAGTGTCTCGTATATTTGACTCATCTTGATTGCAAAGATACGGAACAGAAAATGACCGACAAGTTGGCTAGTCAGGTTTGTTACAGCTGTTTACTCATAGCTTTATCAAAGCTAACAAAGAACAGTATTTGTGAAAGTTTGTGAAAAATCCTGCTCATTTTGTATAAAAGAAGGTGTAGTCCAGTCACCAGCGAGCAAGGTTTTGGTGCGTGGGGTCTGCTTCGCAACGCGTGTTTGACCTTTTGGACTCGAATAGACTAGCGATGTTTTATTGATTCTCGAAGTAGCCACAGGCCATTTTAATCAGCTCAAAATTCCTACGGGCGGAAGTAAAATCGATATTTTAAGTTCTGTCAGTTTAGGTTAATGGCTCAGAGTTTTCTTGGAAAAATCTGAACACATTGTGCTGGGCAGTCGGCTCTATCTCTGGAACCATGGTTGAAGAAGACGAGAAGCGGTTCCTTGTCTTAGTCATCAGAGGTGAGTTTCTAGCTGTTCAGAAAATATGGATCTTGTTCAACGATTCGTAATGGTCGTGTCTTAGAAAGCTCCTTTCACGCTGTGATTTGTATAGTATAAGATCGAGTAGATTTGTTAGTGAAAATAGTGCCTTTGCAGTGCCAAGATTTTGCGGCAAAATTTATCCGTGAACGGATATTCACGCTGATTTGCGACATTTTCGCGCAGATTCGGCGTTTCAAACGTACCTATTTATTTTCGCAAAACTTACGCAAAATCTCAACGCCGCAAAAACGCTGAATTTGCGATAAATCTACCTATACTCAAGAGGGCTCCGTAATGTCTGTGCATATGATTTTTTTACAGATCTGCTTGGACTGTGTGAACAGAAGCGAGGCAAAGATAACAAAGCTGTGATAGCATCTAACATTATGTACGTTGTTGGACAATATCCACGGTTCCTCAGAGCCCATTGGAAGTTCTTGAAGACGGTTGGTTATATATTTTACACTGTGAAATTCAAATTTAATTTGGAAAGCAACTCTTTGTGAACTTTCGGCGCAAAGCAGTTGCGAAAACCCAAACAATTCTAAAGTATTGTCTTATACATATG